CAGTTCAATCGCCATGGAGCCAAAGTCTTTACAAAGTCAGTTCTCATACGAATGAGCTCCATGGGATTCCTATCTGGTGTATAGTTACAGCTACCGAATACCGGGCTGTTCGTGTACTTCCACCGAACAAGAAGGAAGGTCGGCGGCCTCAGCAGTGTTCGCGCCAAACTGTGTCCGTTTTTAGTTCCATGAGTTTAGGCGTCGAACACCGCTGTGCGTTCGTGTGTTTAAAATGGCCGCGACCTCGTGTTCGTTATACGAATGGCGGCCACCCAGTATTCGTCAATTAAGCTGCGGTTAACCGCAGCTTCTTGTAGGTTAATTGCCGGCACTCTCCAGCTCCCAGGTGGTCCAGTCATTCGTGCGGTTGTTCGGTAGATTGAATCTACCGAACACCGGGCAGAAAAGCACGAATAAGTCAGTTACAGCTACCGAATACCAGGCTGTTCGTGTACTTCCACTGAACAAGAAGGAAGGTCGGCGGCCTCAGCGGTGTTCGCGCCAAACTGTGTCCGTTTTTAGTTCCATGAAAAGCACGAATAAGTCTTTTCTGCAGGGGAAAAGAGGTCTTGTAACATGGGGCCATAATCCAAAGGTAACAGACGAGCAACCAGGCTTCTCCAGTGCAATGTGGCGAGGTTGCTCTCGTCACAGTAATAATCTGAATACGAGTACTGACAGGTAGGTTATAATCTGAATACCAGTACTGACAGGTAGGTAATAATCTGAATACTAGTACTGACAGGTAGGTAATAATCCACCTACTAGTAATGACAAGTAGGTAATACTCCAAATACTAGTGCTGACAGGTAGGTCATAATCTGAATACTCGTACTGACAGGTAATAATCCGAATATTAGTACTGGCCGGTAGGTAATAATCCGCATACTAAGACTGACAGGTAGGTAAGGAATCTACGGTACTGTAAGAGAAAAGCTATGGAATGACCGAATGTTAACACCGACATATATAATGATCCTCTAAATCATTGGCAAACACTGGACACAAACGGAATATAAATCATGTTTCAGGTTTATGTCTATGTGGCGAAACCAACCTCGCCACTGTACACTGGATAAGCCTGGTTGCTCGCCTGCTCCCTTTAGACTATGGCCCGGCATTTAAAACCTTTTATTTTCCCTGCTGAAAGGTTTATTTATTCCTTTCTGCCAGGGTGTTCGGTAGATTCAATCTACCGAACAAACTACCGAACGATGGACCACCTGGGAACTGGAGTGTGCCGTCAACTGACCGCCCAGAAGCTGTGGTTAACCGCAGCTTAATTGATGAATGCTGGGAGGCCTTTGTTCGGTTGCCGAACACGTGGCAGCGGCCATTTTACCTCCCCAACGGCCAGCGGTGTTCAGCGCCTAAACTATGGAACTGAAAACGGACACTTATTGGCGCGAACACCACTGAGCCGCCAGCCTCCTTCCCTTCCCATTCGGGAGCGGAAACGAATGACTGTTCATTCGGTAGTTTAACCGGATGAACAGCATCACCCAGATAGCTAAGCCATGGAGCCTGTTCATGTAACGAAAAAACTATGTGAAGGACTTTGGCTTCATGGCGATTGAACTGTATGTATGTGATCTGAGCGCCATTCGGTAATAATGTGCGCTCAGATCCGAGCTATCTGGGGATATGTAGAACGTATATGTTTTATGTACTGAATGTAACTGTAGGTAATTTTGTCTTTTACTGTTTGTTTTTTGCCATGTGGTTAATGGAGTTTTCTTTGGAGATAATTGGATTACTTCCCAATTATCTCCAGGGCAGAGAGGAGGGATTGTGATGCATTGTGGGATGGTTGAAATGTGTAAGTCTGTGATTGGTCCTTTTACCCTTTGTGTCCCAGTCTCCCATTTGGTCCCCTAGGGGAGTGTCCACCAGGTGGGAGACCTGCATAAAAGCCGGGCAGTTAGCCCCAGTAAATGAGTTCCTGCTTAACCCTCAAAGTGAAGTGTCGTCTCATTATTGGGGGAGGATTTACTGTATGCTGTTAGAGACTGATTGCCAGGAGTGTAAGCTGCTTGGGGGCTTTTCCTGTTCGTCTGCTAGCAGCTATTCGTGTGTCTCCAGTTCGGGAGTTTGGAGTGCTACTTGGTATGCAGTTCGGGAGTTTCGAGTATTCCCTTGGTTGCAGTTCGGGAGTTGGTGAATTTGTGGGTTTGCAGTTCGGGAGATTGGTGCTTGAAGTAGCTGTCGGTGCAGCTGAAAAGGGGGAATATTACCTAAACGGTTTTTAACCTCTTGTGGGCAAAACGGTCCGTTACAGTCTAACAATTTTTCCTCCTGAAAAAACGCATAATTACACGTTATAATGAGAACATTTGTTGACTTAGATATGAAGTTGCCATGTGTGGTCTTTTACTGTATAATAATGATTCAGTATTGTACATCTATATTGACTGAGTGTAAAACCCACACATGAATTGAGCGAATGTCCGTTATATACATGAAAGATTTCCTTTTTTTTCCTTAGCTTAGCAAAACAATAATGAACCCCTAGAGGAGGACAGGAGCAGGACTCATGAGCCTTTGCAGGCCTATGGGCACTTGGGCAGCCATCCTCAACTGCAGCAACATTTGCGGCAGAATTTGACGGAACAGATCCCAATAGGATGACATTCTGCTGTAATGCAACCTCCGAGACATGTCCTTCTTGAGGACGGAGAGGAAAATAAATAATTCTATGAGGACTGAACCTCGTCTTTATACATGCCGGCGCTACCGTGGCTTATACAGTAATGCCACCAGCCACCTACATGTCCTTGGCACCATTAGGAGCTGCAGCATTTGTATCCCCAGGTCAGTGGTTAGATGTATAGAGAGCCAAGAATACAGAATACTGTTTTGAATATTACATGATCGCAATCCCAAGTAAACGGCTGACAAGGTTGGTCCCGGATGTGTCGAATCTCACTCACCAGCTCCAGCTGCAAGCACTCTCCACAGGTTCTCCTGCTGTTTCCTCATCCTCCATACTCACCTCTGTTCAGGCTGTCCCAATTCTTGTTTAGTCCACACTTAGTAAGATATCTGGCCACGAAAAAAGCCAGAGAACCCCTAGATCGTGTGGCGATTAGTATAGTTTAAAGATGGTGGGGTACTGACCCCGACTTGTTGGGCAATACCCATTCAACCTCATGAGAAGCCATGCCATTAACCAAAACAACTGTATCTCCAGTCTTCAATAAAGGGGGAGAATGGAAACTGCAGATATTATCCGGACAGACCCACGATTTTTCTAACACACTTATTAGTAGTCTGAGCCGCCTGAAACAAAGATAATTAATTTCTACCTCTCCACCCAACTTTAAGGTACGGACGGAAATTTGGAAGATGCTCCACGGGATTTATTTTACCTTTGTTACCACGTTATTCATTTACTATAACAATGCTGCCATTTGTATCTGTGGTTTTACTGCTGTATTATTTTGTACTTGCATTGATATATAGTTATTAATATTTTGTATAAAACTAATGTTTGTTTTGTTCTACCTTCCCCCTGGCACTGCTTGCCCCTCCTAGCTGTAGATTCCTTCAGATAAGGTTATCTCTGTTCCTTAAGCCCAATTCCACAAACCAACTGAATGAAACCCACTTCTTTTTTTTTTTTTAGTAAGCACTACGCGCCCAACCGGCCCTCTTATTCTCACCTTATGTGTGAGTTTAAGATCTTTGTGAGGGTTTACTGGGAAATAACAGGAAGATTTTATGAAGAATAAGATTTAATTGTCACCATATTCACATGAAAACACAATTGTGATATGTGTGGTATGTCTTTAATAGGTTAATGTTGAGACTCCTCAAGTAACGTTATCCCACTTGGCTCCTTTGGTTTTCACATTTGATGATAGTTTAGATCTGGTTTTCCTGAGACACCCATCACAGGGGCCACAGAATAAAAACTAGCGGAGCTTCTTATCGATCGCTGTGTTTTCTGCGTCGTACCGATTAGAATTCGCTCCGTTTCCCTTTGTGTCTTCATAGTGTGCATCCCATGATAAGGTTTCCATGGTGACTGTTTCATTTTTAACACTCTATACAAAAACATTATTACGTATAATGTCCTGTATATTTTGGGGGGAGAATGAAAAAGCTTGTTTAAATTAACTAGAAGACTAGTTTCTCCAGCGACTGTAAACCCAGACTTTTCCATCTGTCCTGAACATTGTCCAATCAGAGGATCTTGTTGAAAAGCCTTGCGGGCATGTTGCACATGCGCACGATTGGCCAATCATGCAATTCTCAGTGAGTTGTGTTGTGTATTAAAATATTTAATGTAGGGGCGTGGCTTGGCGCCGGACGAGAATGGCCGCCTAATCTCCTCGCTCCGCTCCCGACCGCCCAATAAGCACATCTAAACAGCGCAATCTGGTACCCATGGGACGCACCAAGCAAGCCCAAATGACCCCCTCCACGCCAAGAACTCAGGGGAACAACCCGCACCCCTCGATCAGAAGCTACCTGAACACCCCAGGCGATCTTCTCACACAGGAGGAACTATCCAATATGGCGCCCTCCTCACCGAGCTCCACACTATCGGAAGAAGTCCCCAACACTGGAATGAGCGGAACTGCCGCGCCAGCACCAGACTGGTATGCCCTTTATGCATCCCTACCTAAGAAGGAGGACTTCCACTCCCTCCTGGAAGAGGTTAAAACCACGCTGCACACAGAAATATCAGCCCTGGGCTCCTCCATTACAGCACTAGAGACCAGAGTGCAGGCCCTGGAATCCCGACGCCCCGACCTGCACTGCCCGGCGCTCGCAGCCACGACGGCACAGGCTAAACAGATCCAGGACCTACGCCTACACATTGAAGACCTGGATAATCGCAGCCGCAGACACAATATACGGGTAAGAGGATGCAGGGAAACAGACGCCCCAGAAGACACGAGGGCCATTTTGACACCACTCTTTAACCGTATCCTAAACCGGCCAAGAGACGCCCGCATCCCCATAGACAGAGCACACAGGGCCCTGAGGCCTAAGCCCCCGCCAGGTGCCCCTCCTAGAGACATAATTTGCCACATACCAGACTTCCAACTTAAGGAAGAAATTATGAGGAAAGCCCGGACGGAGAGGTCCTGGAGGCATGAGGGGCAGACGGTCGAACTATATAACGACCTCTCCCACCTCACCCTACAGGCCCGAAGAGCGCTGCGGCCCCTTACCACCGCCATGCAGGAGGCCCAAATACGCTACCGCTGGCAATTCCCATTTGCCCTAACAGCCCGGCGAGATGACACCGAAGCCACGATAAGATCACCACAAGACGTACAAGCCTTCCAAGAAGCCCTTGGCCTCCCACAAATGCCCATCGCAGACTGGACAAATTGCCCGATGAATGAGCGCTTCACAGGGCGACCAACCCGCCGCCACATCCAGCAGGGACCAAACGCTGAATTTACCTCTCTACAGCAAGCGAGCCCAGAGGAATAAACCTACCCCGTTTGCCTGAGAAATCGCTGAAGACTCCACGCTGACATTTTTTCTGGGATCACGGGGCACCCCCCTCTTTTTCTTTCCCTTTTTTTTTTTTTTTCTCTTCTTCCCCTCCTCTCTCCTCACTCCATCAAGGAACGACGAAACATGACCGGAAGAAACAAAGCTATGGACAACTACACCAGCCGTCCAACAGGCCCAGGACACTCGTACAAAATAAATGTGGCCACCAGCAAACATCTACACCACACTCGCCACTCCTCGCACAAGGAGCCTGTCAACGGACTAAGCTCACCCCTACACGACCAGAGAACATGAGCCCCCGTCGAGAAGGACCCAACACTGCACAAGAACCCCCACGGGCAACTGATAAGTGGCCTAACACTGCCACACAATGGACTCCCTCCAGAAGAAGAGAGAACTCAAAAGCGCAAGTACTATGCCAGGGGTCACAACGCCCCAAGACTATACACCAACCACACACTTTACATAAAATACTACTCACGGTGACGCAAAAACAACCCCACCACATGGGGCACTCTCCCACTTACATTAGCACGCCACACAGCCACACACCATACAAAGGCAACATACTGAAGCAGGGACACTCGTGATATGCTGAAGAACACCTGCAGCACTAGTGTTCCTGCTCTGCTGTTCCCACACCACAGATAGACAGCATACACGGCATACAGGCATTTACCACTCATGAGTACAACCACCACGACACAGACACTAATACACAGGCACTGGAGGCGGCAGAGCCCGCAATGCTAAATACAGACTATTCCAAGTCAAAGCTACTCGAAGTCAAAGCTACTCATCTATGTTCCTCTATGTAATCTGTGGGTATTGAAATGTAAACGCAAACGCGACGGACAGACACCACGTCACGTACCTGCACATCACATGCAGGAGACAAGACAGCGACACGGACGATAGGGACACGTGTATTGTACCGACCGATGACTGCAAGGCTAACTCAGGACTAGGCCTATAACAGTTAGGTGCCCTCCCACCTACCGGAACACAAAACGTACCTATCACATAACACATGGACTATCAGCTATCAGAGAAGACTGACCACGATTTGGGGAGTCACTTTGAAGACGGTAACATCTCTAGCTCCTGACATACGACAGCCGACTGCTCACACGAAAGACAGATAAGCAATCCCGAACTGATTATCCATGATGATCCCTACCGATTAAGTCTTACTGAACGACCACACCAGCTACCACCTTATGGTGACAATAGACGAGGCCTGACACACAATGACTCTCACATGACTATACGGAAAGCCGAATCTCCCCTTGGAAGAGACAGCTAGAATACGAACTAAGGCGAGTCTGAGCTGACATACGTGCCCTCCCCGCCCCACCCTCCTTCCCCCGACTTGACCGAATACCGTAAGACCCCGAGTGACCCACAGAACGCAATCTCAGGACGACTAACACGGGATGACCCCCACCTCATCAGGGCATACTCAAACTGTACGAATTAGTTGAATTGAATTGAATTGCATTGAATTGTTTTTGAATGTTACAAATGTTCTCTTATACAATGTTGATCACTGCATGTTCATAACCTGCAAGTTGTTCTCCCATAGGCCTTAACTCACCCTCATCACCCGTATCACACGGTAAGAACCATACAAGGACCACCACTAAAACCCGCTCGCATGCACCTTAGATTAAACACACGACCTACCCTCAGATGGGTGCCACACCGTCCTACACCCTAACACTTTGGGGCGGCGGAGGCCGGATGAGAACTGGACTTGACACCAACCGGCGACACAGTCACAGACGGGTGACCTACCCCCTCACCGGCGCCACCAACCCCACGGGTACACTGCCTACGACCTGCTAGGTAGCTACGGGAAGCAACTCCCCTAGACTTCTACCTACCAGCGGCACATTGCCCCTTACTACTATTACCCCGACGAGTTACAAAAACCTAAACTAGCTGCCCCACTACACACACCCGACTACCTTACACCCCTTCTTCCACCCCCTCCTTCCCTCGTAGACCCCTCCCTCCCCTCTCCCCTACACCCACCTACACCCCCCCCTGACCCTCGCCCGCCCTGGTCCACCAGCCGGCCCGGCCCGGGGGCGACACCCACAGCATGGGCCCACCCCACGCCCCCTACGCGGGCAGACCCAACTGGGACCACCTCAAACTCTACACGCTCAACGCGAGAGGCCTCAACTCTCCTCATAAACGTGCCAGAGCGTTACGGGAACTCAGAGCACTGGGAGTGTCGATAGCCTTCTTCCAGGAAACCCATTTTCACGCACCCCAGGCCCCGAAGTTCTCCAACAAACACTACCCCAACGGCCACTTCGCGCACAACCCCTCGACCAAATCTAAGGGAGTAGCCATACTATTCTCAGCAAACACCCAGTTCCACCTGGAAGCAGAAGTAAGAGACACGGAGGGCAGATATCTCTTTATTAAAGGGAAAATAGGCAACTCCACACTCACGTTTGCGAACCTGTACCTCCCAAACAAAGGCCAGAAACCGTTTCTGGCCTCTGCCCTCAGAACCCTAGAAGAATTCGGTGAAGGCACAATCATACTTGGAGGAGACTTCAATGCCCCCCTAGACCCCAAAATGGACACGTCCAAAGGCGCATCTACGATACCAGGACACATCCTCAGAGGAATGAGGACTCTCCTCTCAAATCACCAATTTACAGACACCTGGCGCATCCTACACCACACAGACAGAGATTTCACCTACTACTCAGCACCACATAGATCCTACTCAAGGATAGATTATTTTTTCACCCAACACAGAGACCTAGACACGCTGCTAGCAGCCCAAATAGCGCCTATGACCTGGTCAGACCACGCACCAGTAATCATCACCATAGAACACCCCAAGCCCTTAAAACCGCAATGGACGTGGAAATTAAATGAATCGCTCCTGGAAGACCCACTAATCCAAACAGACATACGCTCCGCTCTAGAACACTTCTTCCTCACCAACAAGACACCTAACTCCACGCCACCTACAATATGGGAGGCGCATAAATGCGTCGTTAGAGGGATCCTTATCAAACATGGCACCCGCCTGAAAAAACAACGTACACAAGAAATTGCACACCTTGTCACCCAGGTGGCCCAACTGGAAGCAAAACACAAACACACCCTCCATGACGCCACCTATAAACAACTTCTGGATACTAGAGCGAAACTCAACTCTCGGTTACAATCAAAGATCCAATTCCAGTTCCAACTCGCAAAAAAAACATTCTACGAATTCGGAAACAAAAGTGGCAAACTATTAGCCAGAGCACTGAGAGCGCGCAGGCAAAAATGCCACGTCCAAAAGATCACAGCAGCAGGGACACACATGCTCACACCCAAAGCCATAGCAGACGGCTTCCGACAATACTACTCCTCCCTATATTGCTTACCTCTACACACTTCGCGAACAAACTCCACAGAAGCAACCTTCATAGCTCGTCAGAAAGAATATATAGCGCAGAACCTGACTTCCAAGCTCCCGCCCCGGGCCGTAACCGCACTGGAGGAAGACATCACTGCCGAAGAAATACATCTAGCAATCAAACTGGCCAAACAGGGGAAAAGCCCAGGACCAGACGGGTACACGGCAAAATACTACAAGACGTTCGCAGACGCTCTCACCCCACACCTGCTTACCCTGTTTAACGCCATCCATAAGGAGAACCCACTGGATCCCAACACGCTCCTGGCCCATATCGTGGTGATACCGAAGGAAGGAAAAGACCCGTCCTCATGCACCAGCTACCGACCAATATCCCTGCTGAACACTGACCTCAAGCTGCTCGCCAAGATACTGGCACTCCGCCTCCAACCCTTACTACCGGACCTCATCCACCCTGACCAAGTGGGATTTGTGGAGGGAAGAGAGGCCAGGGACAACACCGTCAAGGCACTCAACCTAATACACGCAGCTGGACGAGGACACAAGCCCGCCCTATTGGTCTCGACAGACGCCGAAAAGGCGTTTGACAGGGTGGACTGGTCCTTCTTATTCTCCACCCTAGAGCACCTTGGGATGGGACCGCACATGCTGGCCCGGATATCAGCCCTATACACCAACCCAGCTGCCCGAGTACAAGTAAACGGAATTTTCTCGGACCCATTCGAAATAAGAAACGGCACGAGGCAGGGCTGCCCACTATCGCCCCTGCTATTTGTCCTCAGCTTGGAGCCGTTCCTAAATGCCATCAGAAACCAACCCAACATCGCAGGGATCGGAGGCGGGTGGGGAGTCAGCAAGGTTGCGGCATACGCGGACGACCTCCTGTTTACCATCACCGACCCAGCATCCTCCCTCAGAGAATTAATGCATCAATTTGACACTTATGGCATACTGTCAAACCTAAAAATCAACTTCACCAAATCAGAAATCCTCAATGTGGGTTGCCCCCAACCACTGGTAAATACACTACAAAACGACTTCCCTTTCCACTGGTGCACAGAAGCAATCAAATACTTAGGTATCTGGCTGTCGGCAGACCTCACAGCCATTTTCCGAATCAACTTCCCACCCCTTCTTGACCAGATTAAAAAAGACCTGAACGCATGGCAGCTGCCACACATCACATGGCTGGGGAGGATCAGCGTACTCAAGATGAACATACTCCCACGACTCCTGTACCTCTTGCAAACCCTACCCATACACATTCCCACCACCTTCTTCACCCAAGCCCGACAGATAATGACAGAGTACGTGTGGCATCGCCAGAGGGCGAGATTGAACTTCGCCACTCTCACGAGACCCAAACACCACGGGGGACTGGGCCTACCCGATCTGACCAAATATCGGCGAGCCGTCCATCTCCAGCGTCTGATTGAATGGACACACAACCCGGAAAACAAACTTTGGATCCCGATTGAGGCAAGCTTCTCACAGACCCCCCTATCTCTTCTCCCTTGGCTACCAAAAGCTATGACCAACGAACTACCACGACAACACCCAACCATAAACGCTACTCTGGCGGTCTGGAGAGGCTTAGCGCCACACAGGGACATGGCCCCGGAGCTATCTCCCCTCTGCCCTATCTCCCACAACCCCAAATTCCCCCCGGCGATGGAACCTCGCTACGTCACAACCCTAGGGCTGCCATATCCATGCAGACTAAAGCACATATACAAACAAGGCACGATTACCCCTCTGAGAGACCCGGTCCCAGATACCACGCACAACTGGCCACTCCGCTTCAGATACTACCAGCTTACGAAATTCCTGACGCACATGCCCGAACTGAAATCGGCAACACGAACACTCTCCACCTTCGAAACCCTTTGCACAAGCCCCTTGATCCCACCACACGCAATCTCACTCCTATACACACTACTAATCACACCTCCCACCGATGCTCCCCTCCCTTACTTCACCAGATACTGGGAAAAAGATCTAGGACACCCACTCACCAGGGAACAATGGACCACAGTGTTTACGCTCATACACAAAGCCTCTATAGCCACCAAATACCAGGAAGCAGGATATAAAATGATCTCGCACTGGTACCGAACACCAGAGAAATTGTCGGCAATGATGTCCACCTGTGAACCAGAATGTTGGAGATGCAGGAAAGAACTGGGAACCCTCTTCCATATATGGTGGACCTGCCCACTCATCAAACCATTCTGGACGGAAATCCACAAAGTCCTAGAGACCGTAACGGATGCGAAGCTACAACTTACACCCGAAACCTATCTGCTCCACCTGACCCCGCTTCCCTTCAACAGATACAAAAAATCTGTAATCCCGCATCTCCTGAATGCGGCTCGCAGCCTCATTCCGGGACACTGGAAACAACCTACGGCCCCGACAATCAATGAATGGATGATCAGAGTAGAAGACATCAGACGTATAGAGGAGCTCATCCTCTCGGCGACGGGACGCATACAACGCTACCACGACACCTGGTATCACTGGTCACAATGGCTCACCTCTGCCACAGCGCCGGGAGACGGGGACTTACAGCCCTCAGATACAGAAGTGGAACTGTCCCCCCGGGTCGAGGCCGGAGGAGCTGGACCGAGACCTGGGCCGTCCCCCGCCTAACCCACCACTAACTCCCTATACCTCATCCCGCTTAACCTGAAACCACCCACACCCCCCGGTCCCCATTCTTCATCACCCCCCCTTACCCCCTCCTGAGCGACTCCGCCCACCTACAACCCTTCAGAGACAAACCAACACAGAGACGAATAATCATGACACAAGACAAACAACGCTCACCCCTCACTCCCCCCCCCAAACACAGATCGAACGACACGCACCGTACCCATGACACACGACAGAGACATACACAAGACAGCACGCCAGAGACAACACTCACGCTACACACAACACGACAACTACCGGGCCAGAAACCCCCAGCTTTCTCCCCCAGCTACCAGACGGCTCTGAGCGTAGCAACACTTAGACACACAAACCAATGCTGCCAGTAAACCCCACCCCACCCCCGTTCATAACACTAACGGACCGGCTCCGAGCTCCATACCCGAAGCCCCAACAAAAGACCCACCCCACTGGACCCCACCAACGCAACCCAGGGCATATCCCCACTAAATAAGACCTCCACATGTACACTCATCCAACCAATGAAACCCCACATACTAAAGCAATATGAGCAGTACAACCTGCTAGGTATACCTAACCCACCCCCAAGATAAACACTGAATCACATCCCCCACTAAAACTCATAAATCTGTAACTTACCGCAAAACTACCCACACCATACCACAAATGTTGAATGATTCAAAACACGCAACTGTTTCTAAAAACTCTGTTCATTATATGCGCATGGCCCGATCTTCAGTTGCCATGACGATGGGATCAACTCAGTGAGTTACCAAACCCCACGGCACTGGAATACCCACGTACATATTTTATATTTTATACTTTTAATGCCTAAACCATTACCTGCTCTGTAAACTAACTGTTACCATGCTATATTAAGATGCCCATGTACCTTCTACCTGCTGTATCCTTCTTCAAACTGGATTGTTACGCGAATTTAAATCAAAATAAAAACTTTTTGAATACAAAAAAAATATTTAATGTATAACAGCTTATTAAGAAGTGTATGGATGGAAAGCACCAAGATCGGGGCAGGCCCTCACTTTGCTTTGAACTATAGTTCAAAGCCAACCCTCCCAGCTATGTGACTGATGGTCAGGAAAATGTGACAAAGGTGTTTATAAAATTGCAGATTTTTCTTGAAGTCAACACTTTTATAAAATAAGCCTGCGGGGAAGACCGTTTTAACATCACGCACTGCAGCCAGCTCCAATATGGCTTCCTCGACAGTCCGCCATCACCAAGGAGCTGTTGCTACATTAGAATCCGGTTTATAGGTTATTACGTAGCCAGAGATCTGAATATCTTGAATACTTTTACTTTTCTAAGTGATAATGAAAGAAAAATCCAAAGAAAAGCAATCTGTAAAAAACAAATGCATCGTTCTGGAAGTGACAATTTT